ATCACACCTCTAAAACAGGTCATATAACTGCGAAGTAATTGCCGTGATGCCCCTGAAATGTCCATAACGCTTTGTAGACATTGTTCAGCCGCCCCTCCCCAAAAAGGGTCGTTAGACTTTTGGTCGGCCAAGGTTTTCAAAAAAGATGATAAGATCCATGCGCTTCGTAGCTGCAAACTACGGTCCAGTCTCAGTAAACTGAGACTCATGGATAAGGAGACAGCTCTTTTTTTCCTGAGTTGTACCTTTGACAATATGACCGATTTGACATAGAAGTCGACTATCACGTAAATAAGGCACGGGCGGGTTTCATACGTTTTCTTCTAATTATGTAAAGCTAGCACAACACCAACTAAATGCCTAAGCCTTAACTCTACGCGCAGCAGTCCCAACGAAGTCTGCGCTGGGCGCATTTAAACAATCATGCTTGCATCTTCACCCCAACCCATTAGTTGCGCCATTCGTACCGTCTGAGGTATCCCTATCAAAAATTGCACTACGGCGAATGTGAAAGCTTCCGCGTCAGAGTGCAGTCTTGGTTGATGACAATGTCCAAGTCATCGACCTGAAAAAGCTGGCCTCCAGCCTATCGTTAGAACTATGGTCTCATGTATGCAGGACTGCTGATTGTGTAAATTTTTCTCAGGAGTCCGCCTACGACCAACTATAATCTAAGATAATCAGTTTTAATACGATAGATCAATAACAATCAGCTATCCCCGTGAATTCTACCATATGTCCATAAGTGCGTTGCCTTATTGCATTTTCCCTTTTCATCTAATCTGCCCTAACCATTCCATTCTGTTTTCTGACTAATCAACGTTTTTTTACTTAGGAACAAAAGCATTTGCGCACAGGATTCAATTCTGCCATGGCCGGATTACTCGAATACGAGAAATCCATTTTGTTAGACAGTCACAATGAAAGCTGCATGGTTGTTTGTTCCGAAGGCCTGGATCTTGACAACATAATCTACACGTCGATCAAAGTGCACAGTGATCCTCACAACTTAGTGCTGATTTCCAATTATGCTCTTGATGAAGCCAGGTACATTTCCAAACGACTAATGGCTGAGAATGAAACCTACGTCCCTTTTATCATCACTGCTGAAGTTAGCGTTAAAGAGCGTAAGGCGGCCTATTGTCGTGGAGGTGTTGTCTTTGTCAGTTCTCGAATCCTGGTTGTTGATCTCCTTAGAGGCACCATGCCCGTCAGTCTGGTGACTGGCGTCATCGTTCTTCGCTGTCATCGTCTTCATGAGGCCAGTCAAGAGTCCTTTATGGTGCGGCTACTCCGTGAGAAGAATCCTGACATATTTGTGATGGCCTTCACGGACAATCCTGTGGCTCTGATGTCCGGGTACAATAGGGTGGAGTTCATGATGAATCAATTCAGTATGCCAAAGCTTCTTCTATGGCCCCGCTTCAATATTGAAGTGGTTAAGTCTCTGACCTGCTGTC